GTCACTTTTGCCTCTATTTACTACTATTTTCCATGGCTATTTTAAATGTATACGATTTTGGTTCAAAACACGATGGTGCGCGACAAATATGTTATTCACATCAAATGATAGTGTCCTGTTTGGAATCATGCTTTTCCGAAGACGTCGAACAATTTTTCACTTTTGCCTCTATTTACTACTATTTTCCATGGCTATTTTAAATGTATACTATTTTTGTTCAAAACGCGGTGGTACGCGACAAATATGTTATTCACATCAAATGATAGTGTCCTGTTCGAAACAATGTTTTTCCGGAGACGTCGAACAATTTTTCACTTTTGCCTCTATTTACTACTATTTTTCATCGCTATTTTAAATGTATTCTATTTTGGTTCAAAACACGAAGGTGCGCGACAAATATGTTATTCACATCAAATGATTGTGCCCTGTTCGAAACCATGCTTTTCCGGAGACGTCGAACAATTTTTCATTTTTACCTCTATTACTACTATTTTCCATGGCTATTTTAAATGTATACGATTTTGCTTCAAAACACGAAGGTGCGCCACAAATATGTTATTCACATCAAATGATAGTGTCTTATTCGAAACCATGCTTCTTCGGAGACGTCGAACAATTTTTCATTTTTACCTCTATTACTAATATTTTCCATGGCTATTTTAAATGTATACGATTATGCTTTAAAACACGATGGTGCGCGACAAATATGTTATTCACATCAAATAATAGTGTCCTGTTCGAAACCATGCTTTTTCGGAGACGTCGAACAATTTTTCACTTTTGCCTCTATTTACTACTAATTTCCATGGTTATTTTAAATGTATACTATTTTGGTTCAAAACACGATGGTGCGCGACAAATATGTTATTCATATCAAATGATAGTGTCCTGTTCGAAACCATGCTTTTCCGGAGACGTCGATCAATTTTTCACTTTTGCCTCTATTTAGTACTATTTTCCATGGCTATTTTAAATGTATACTATTTTGGTTCAAAACACGATGGTGCGCGACAAATATGTTATTCACATGAAATTATAGTGTCCTGTTCGAAACCATGTTTTTCCGGAGACGTCGAACAATTTTTCACTTTTGCCTCTATTTACTACTATTTTCCATGGCTATTTTAAATGTATACTATTTTGGTTCAAAACACGATGGTGCGCGACAATTATGTTATTCACATCAAATGATAGTGTCCTGTTCGAAACCATGCTTTTCCGGAGACGTCGAACAATTTTTAACTTTTGCCTCTATTTACTACTATTTTCCATGGCTATTTTAAATGTATACTATTTTGGTTCAAGACACGATGGTGCGCGGCAAATATGTTATTCACATCAAATGATAGTGTCCTGTTCGAAACCATGCTTTTCCGGAGACGTCGAACAATTTTTAACTTTTGCCTCTATTTACTACTATTTTCCATGGCTATTTTAAATGTATACTATTTTGGTTCAAGACACGATGGTGTGCGGCAAATATGTTATTCACATCAAATGATAGTGTCCTGTTCGAAACTATGCTTTTCCGGAGGGGTCGAACAATTTTTCGCTTTTGCCTCTATTACTACTATTTTCCATGTCTATTTCAAATGTATACGATTTTGCTTCAAAACACGAAGGTGCGCGACCAATATGTTATTCACATCAAATGATAGTGTCCTGTTCGAAACCATGCTTTTCCGGAGACGTCGAACAATTTTTCACTTTTACCTCTATTTACTACTAATTTCCATGGCTATTCTAAATGTATACTATTTTGGTTCAAAACACGATGATGCGCGACAAATATGTTATTCACATCAAATAATAGTGTCCTGTTCGAAACCATGCTTTTCCGGAGACGTCGAACAATTTTTCATTTTTGCCTCTATTACTACTATTTTCCGTGGCTATTTTAAATGTGTACGATTTTGCTTCAAAACACGATGGTGCACGACAAATATGTTATTCACATCAAATAATAGTGTCCTGTTCGAAACCATGCTTTTCCGGAGACGTCGAACAATTTTTCATTTTTAACTCTATTTAATACTATTTTCCATGGCTATTTTAAATGTATACTATTTTGGTTCAAAACACGATGGTGCGCGACAAATCTGTTATTCACATCAAATGATAGTGTCCTGTTCGAAACAATGCTTTTCCGGACTGCGGAACAACCGACATATCCCAGAGCCAGAGATACCGACTTCAATCTTGGCGTCATCAACCGACATGTTCAAAGTGATTTCTTATCCGATATATATCGAAAGAAGATCGAATTTCCAAGCAGGAGGTGTCGCATACTTCCAATTGGACCAACACATCAAACAACAATCATTGATGTTCCCCAAAACTATTACACACCGCTTTAGTGAAGCTGCTCAACATGAAAAATGATCTTATCCAACTTGGACAAAATGATAAAATAAGACCGTACTATAAATAGCAAAATTTACAACTGTACGAGGATCTTTTTTCCGCACATTGTACACGGACTTGAAATGATCTCGGTCAAGAACAAAAAACCGACTTCCTGTACTATTGCGAAATCATCAATAATATACACTTTTATGTTTATTTTCGCTTAAACAAACCTTGCTGTTTGTTATTTTTGAGTTGTTAATTTCATACAACAACAATGTTATTCACATCAAATGATAGTGTCCTGTTCGAAACCATGCTTTTCCGGAGACGTCGAACAATTTTTCATTTTTGCCTCTATTACTACTATTTTCCATGCTATTTTAAATGTGTACGATTTTGCTTCAAAACACGATGGTGCACGACAAATATGTTATTCACATCAAATAATAGTGTCCTGTTCGAAACCATGCTTTTCCGGAGACGTCGAACAATTTTTCATTTTTACCTCTATTACTACTATTTTCCATGGCTATTTTAAATGTATACTATTTTGGTTCAAAACACGATGGTGCGCGACAAATATGTTATTCACATCAAATGATAGTGTCCTGTTCGAAACCACCGTGAGTCAACGATTGTCACCTTCTCTAGCCGGTTGCTTTCTCCAAAGAAACATAATTAATCAGTTGCTCCTAACTTCTACCATCGAACAGACCTAATTAAAAGAAAAAAAATTCTAATCTTTTACCTATAAAAAATTTATTGGACTTCTCTCAATCAAGTGGTGTATTGGTGTATTGTGAGCTTCAATTTCGGACTTGCGACGAGCATCTTCAGAATTGGGACGACCATCTTTAGAATTGCGACGACCCATCTGAATACATGGCGAGAAGGATTATATGTGGGTTGCAACCTCAATACGGTATGTTCAACGTCTCCGGAAAAGCATGGTTTCGAACAGGACACTATTATTTGATGTGAATAACATATTTGACGCGCACCATCGTGTTTTGAAGCATGATCGTATACATTTAAAATAGCCATGGAAAATATTAATAATAGAGGTAAAAATGAAAAATTGTTCGACGTCTCCGGAAAAGCATGGTTTCGAACAGGATACTATCATTTGTTGTGAATAACATATTTGTCGCGCACCTTCGTGTTTTGAAGCAAAATCGTATACATTTGAAATAGACATGGAAAATAGTAGTAATAGAGACAAAAGCGAAAAATTGTTCGACCTCTCCGGAAAAGCATGGTTTCGAACAGGACACTATCATTTGATGTGAATAACATATTTGTCGCGCAATGCTTTTCCGGAGACGTCGAACAATTTTTCATTTTTGCCCCTATTACTACTATTTTCTATGGCTATTTTTAATGTATACGATTTTGCTTCAAAACACGATGGTGCGCGACAAATATGTTATTCACATCAAATAATAGTGTCCTGTTCGAAACCATGCTTTTCTGGAGACGTCGAACAATTTTTCACTTTTGCCTCTATTTACTACTATTTTCCATGGCTATTTTAAATGTATACTATTTTGGTTCAAAACACGATGGTGCGCGACAAATATGTTATTCACATCAAATGATAGTGTCATGTTCGAAACCATGCTTTTCCGGAATGAAGCTACTTTGAATAAAACGAATTTATACCATGTTTCCACATAAATTTTTTCTCAACAGTTAAGATATTTAAAAACACACAAGAACATTTAATTTAACCTACATAATACAGGTAAAAAAAAAAGAGATTTCAATTTAAGCATAAACCCTAATTCTCAAATTCGATTGATTTGTTTCAGATATGTGAAATGAGCATGAAAATTTCAGAAATTCATATATCAAATCTCTTGCAACAACTAAAACGTCCGATTTCTTACGGAGAAAGAGTTTACCAATCTTGCCCGTTGTTTTTTTTTTCGCCGGCGAAGTAATCGACACACTGTCTGTGCTCTCGGTTCTGTCGTTGGTCGTCTCCATTTGTGGGGTAGTGGCAGGCACCGAGACCTTCTCGGCCGATTGAAGAGGAGCGTGGGGTGTGGTCATTTTTTGTGCAGAAGAAGGCCAGATTTTATGGATAAAAAACAGAGCTGTAACTCTTCGATATATATATTTTTTTTTTTGGTGCACAATAGTCAAATGAGTTGCAAGTTGTGTTATATCAGTGCAGGTTTTGTTTTCCCAAGACCCACATATTAAAGAATGAAAAAGCAGAAAACTTGTAAACAAACGCGTGTTTGGAGAAAAATAAAAAAACTGGATTTTTTTTTGTCAAAATTTATATAAACAAACACTCTTAAGGTTACATGATATGATTCTTTGACGCTTCACTTATGATCAATAGGTCGTTGATTCGAGTCACGAAAAAATAAAGTGAATAAAAAAGAGAAAAAAAATGATATGATTCTTTCTAAATTTAAGATTTTTTAAGAGTTTTAAATTTAAAAAAATCTCAAAATGTTTCAACTAAAGAATAAAGACAGCTCTCGCGTAAGTCGAAGAATTCTCATCCCGGTGCGGGCCTCTCCTTTTGTCTTCGTTTCGCTTTTCCCGCAACTCACTTTTCTCGACAACCATCAACCCAATTTCTTCCTCTCTCTCTAGTTTCCTGTACCGTCGAAGAGGCTTTGAATTTTGTAGGTGTCTGTCTTCTTTCTCAATAATTTTTATATTTCCGATGCATAGTAACTGTTGGATCTATGATTTGGCTATCTTGGGTACCTAAGATCTAATTTCTGTCAGCTCTGCGTAAGAGAACTTGGATTTCTACCCCCTATTTGTTTTGATTCTCAGATCTGTGTTGGTGTTTAATTTGCGTGTCTGGTTTCATGAAAAAATTGTCTTTCTCGGGAAATTCTGTGTAATTATCTCTAAATTACTGTTTTNTTTTCTCTTTTATTTTGTGCTAATTGGTTATATTGGGTTGGTTGTAGTTTTTTGTTCCGAAGATCATTTCACCTTGTGACTTTGATTTTCTGTGATATTTTGTTGACGCAGATGAGTTACTGTAATCAGAATCGCTTGAATTTGAAATTAATTGACGCACCTTCTGGAAAGATCTTAACTTGATTCAATGGGGATAAAATCTTAAGAAATTTGATCTACTATGCTCAAATTGAGTATATTCAATGCATTTGTCTGCGCAGGCATATTACTTTGGAAGGTTAAGCTGATTTGGTCTCCTTCTTCCCTAGAACTGTGATATGAAGAAGGCTTTTGATCAAACTGTTCGCGATCTGTGAGTTCTATTATTTAATCAATGCACTTGCTGCGCTGTTAATTTCCCTCATTATGATCTTCTACCTGTTATTGAATCTTGGATTAGGGTCCATTGGTGTAAAAAAACCATTTTTTAAAAATATTTTATTTTATTTTCATTTGGAAGATGTTAGATAAGTGGAGATGTGATTTGTCACTGAGCTTGAATTGTTTGTCTCGCTTGCAGTAAGAGAGAGGTCAACAAGAAAGTTCTTAAAGTCCCTTCGATTGAACAGAAGGTAATAATCTTCTTTTCTGGTGACTGGCTTTTCATTTTCCCAAGTATTTTCTTGACAAGATGGTTTACCAGTTTGCAGTTTCTTATTTCTGTTTACTATTATTATTAGAGCAGTGGAATGAGCTAGCATTTGCCTAATTGTTCCTGACTGTTGTAAAGTGGTATTATTTTTTAAGGTTCTTGATGCAACTAGCAATGAGCCTTGGGGTCCTCATGGGTCACTTCTTGCTGATATTGCTAATGCAACAAGAAATTAGTAAGTGTGGATTAACTCAATGTAGAGTATTTCCTGAGCCCCAGTCTTTTTTTTTTTTTTTTTTAACAGTCACGAGTATCAGATGATCATGTCGGTTATCTGGAAACGTATAAATGATACTGGGAAAAATTGGCGGCATGTGTACAAGGTTTGTTTCTGATGTTATAAATCAGTTCAATGTTGATTGTACCATGTTGTTTTACTTTTATACATGCTCAATCCCTCAGAGTCGAGGTTGGGGAGATTCAACTGCTTTTTACATCCTTTCCTCCCAGCTTTAAACCCATCCCTAGCATATTTAGTTACTCGTTTGGATATCTTTCTAATTTAACTGAATTTTAATTTAGACCTTGTTGTAATGTTTTTGTGGCATTTCTTTATACAGTCTCTCTCTCTCTCTCCCTCTCTCTCTCTCTCTCTCTCTCTTTCTTTCTGAAGCATTCATAGCAGCTGCCTTCTACAGTATGTTACTGATTCTTCTGATTGATACAGGCACTGACAGTTTTAGAGTACTTGGTAGCCCATGGGTCAGAGCGCGTCATAGATGACATCAGAGAACACTCATACCAAATATCTGTTAGTTTCCTGTTCTTCTGGATTCGACCTTATCCTAAAGTTAATCAGAGTAGTAGGTTAACACTTGTTTTGTAATATTTATCTGGTGATAGACACTGTCAGATTTCCAATATATTGATTCCAGTGGGAAAGACCAGGGGAACAATGTTAGAAAGAAATCTCAAAGTCTTGTAGTGCTGGTTAATGACAAGGAAAGAATACAGGAAGTTAGACAGAAGGCTGCTGCTAATAGGGACAAGTAAGTGAGCATTATAAATTGTTGAATTGTACACATTAGTAATATGCTGGTTTTTCAACTTGTAATTACCTTGTAATGGATTTCTGTGAAGGTTCTTATCATTATCGTATATTGTATAATGAGTATGTGTCTTCTATGACCATATCTCTATATGAATGTTACCTTCATATACTTCTGTTGGAAGTTTATGATTTCATGTTCACTATTAGTCTTGAACTCTTACTGAATCCTATATGCTTGGACTGCTGGAACACGCCGGCGAGGGCGGTCCATCTCACGGATCGTTATCGGATACCAAACACGTACATACATGATTTCGAACACTATAGGCATGCTCCTATGGACGGAGAGTACCTTGAAACAGAGGCTTTGACTCGATCGAGGCGATGTTCTAGTCTGTGTCCGACCACGTTTGGACGCCGAATGGACGACGATCCTCCAAACGGTTGTCTTTCCCGAACCCTTCTCGTCACTCTCTTCACGATGGTGGCTCAAAGCGTCACGAGTTCCTCTGTTTTTCTCTTAGGGTTCACGTGCAATCCGCTTTTATAGAGGTGCTTGGGAGTTGGGCCAGACTAGGGATCTCCTAGAAGGTTTGGCTCTCTACGGGCCCAAATTCTTATCAATCAGCCCAGAACACAATTTGGCCTATAAATATTAATTCATTCCACTAGAGAATTAATATTGCATCCCCGTCCTATCCATCAGGACTCAATATAATTCCCCATGTTGAAGATACGCACGTCCATTAATTATTAAAGCTTCTGATTGCTTTAATTAATCAATATCTTTTATTCCTTAATTCTTAAGTAGTACCACTTAACCTTAATATCGTACAGATTAATTCCACCTACACGGTTTTAAACATAATTCTTATGAGTTCCTTAAGGGGGCGTTATCAACCTGGATGAGGTTCCCTAATGCCAATAAATAGATATCATGCATTATCTGCCGTTATCCAAGATGCGGAGCATATTAAACCAAACTTGGTTCTCACCCATGGTAAGTCAAAGTAACAAACAAATATACCACATATCTAAGTATCACAGTTACGATTAAGAATTAGTAGTCACCGAGGCCTTTGTTCTTCATGGCAGTTAGAATAAGAGAACACGTCTCAACTGTGATCCTTTCAATGCGACGCAGCGCACTAGTGTAAACTAATAGCCAAGACAAGCTACATCCACTTTATACTACAACCTAAACCCAGTGATTAAAATAGCGCGTGGCGAGCCGAGGCGACAAGGCTCGGATTTGCCATGGCGTGAGGCGTGCGACGAGGCGCCCGCCTTATGAAAGCGAGGCGAGCCATTATACAAAAAATAAAAATATATGTACATGTGACATTTTACCAAATTATGACAGGTAGCTTCGGGTGGGGGGTATATAAAAATAAATTATAATAGCTAATAAACAATCAATAAAACATCACACATTAAAATAAAAACAACATCAAATAAACTACAAATAGAGATATCATAAACCCACATGATCCCAATTAAAATAAACATCAACCCACTCCACAATCCCATATTGTGCCAAATTCCCAATTAAAATAATCATATAATGTCTGTTGTTCATTAAAAACCAAGTTAATGCTCCACATTTATAAATAAACAAAATAAATAATAAAAATAGAAAATAAAAAAACATGTTAAGCCCAACCCCCTGTTCGCTTTTTATCCTCTTTTCATCCTGGCCGGCCGGCTGCTATCAGCACCGCCGGCCACCGGCGACGGAAGTTTAGCCGGAATCGGCGACTTACACAACAGGCACTATCGCTGGTGAAAAATAACTGAAGCAAGAAAGGAAAAAAGAAAAAGAAGAAGAAAAGGAAAATCTGGAACACATACCGCTCGCCGTCGCCGTCACCGGTTAGCTGCCGGAATATGGTCGCCGTCGCCGGTGGAACAGAAGGCACATGGTAATTTTGTAGTTTGGTAAGTAATTTTTGTTAATTGATAAGTTTTAATCTCGGGTAAATGAAACCCTAGATTTAAAAATACCTAAACTGCCGATCCCTCCCCTCACTTTCATAAGGCGTCGCCTCGTGCTACGCAACGCTACATCCGAGGCGACGCCATGGCGTCGCCTTTCACAAGGCCGCCTCGCCTCAAGGGTATGAGGCGTCGAAGCCCCGCCTCGCCTCGCCTCGCCATGGTGCGCTATTTTAATCACTGCCTAAACCGATAGGCATGTCCATAACTATCTGAGATGTGAATACCATTTATATCTTATAAGAAACCGACAATACAATTTTCTGTGTGACTACTAACACACCACATTATCTACAATATAAGATCATTGGTGATTTAGCATACAAGCAATGTGCAATAATGTGAACATTTATTTGGGACATTGAATAAATACATTCTAAAAGCTCACATAAAAGTTTGCTTTACAGTATACTCCAACACGGACATCACTCTTTCTAGACTCCTGTGAAATTAGGTGTACATTTGGAAATTTGAAGCTTTATTTTGTTTGTATCTTGGTCATGATCTATTTGTAATAGTGTATGCAAATCTTTAGTCAGCTGTGTGGTATTTGATTATTCCGAGCTGGATTGACTCATGCCTCAAGTTTCGACTATCATTTGAGCTAGGGATTTGGGAGTGCTTTGGGGATTAGAATTTCATGTGTATATTCTTTAGCCTTTCATGTGTATATTCTTCACTTTATTCATGTTGGGCAGAGTTGTTTATATAATTTCTTGATTTATTTCATTTCTTAACAGTGTACTACCTTTTCTTGTAGTGTAGTTCTCTTGGTCGTCAGTACAAATCACTGAAATTTATGGTGTTCTATTATTCTATAAATATTTTTTTTTGTGTATGATTAAAATGCTAATAGGTACCGCAGTACACCAGATGGTGGTATGTATCGTCCTGGCTCCAGAGGTTATGGCGACAGATATGATGATGACCGATATGGAAACAGAGAAGATGACCGAAACAGCTATGGGAGGGAAAGAGAATGGGGTTCCAGAGATGATGATAGGTATGGTCGGGAATCATATGGCCGAGATGGGTACAGGGATGATGACTACAGAGGAAGAAGTCGGAGCACTGACGGATATCATAATGGGTCAAGAAGTAGAAGTGCTGATCAAGATAGGAGTCGTTCAAATGAGGATGATGACCAGTACTCGTCCAGGTTCGTTGAATCCTTAAATCTCCAAATAGTCAACTCCATATCACTTTCGTTGGTATATTCTTTGTACATAATTTCATTTTATATTTATTATTTCCATAGCGTGGATATCAATGGCGGGGCGGCGGTGCTGATTAGAATGATCAGAATTGAAATGAATGCTTATTTAACATAGCCCACTTAGTATCTTGGATGTCATGATTTATTTATTATACTTAGTTTTCTTTCTACTGTGCATGATTTGTATTCAAAATGTGTAACCAAATATTGATAATTTTATGCTTTTGTTTATGATTTGTGAATTTTTCATGTTAAATACCTAATTCTACCTATTTTTCGCACCATGTACTAGAGGTGCTCCCAGCGTGCCTCTTGTCCCTAATAAGACTGAAACAAATTAATTGGATCTTTTTGGAGATTGTTGTATGCATGAATGTAATAAAACTGAGTAAGTTTAAGAGAGCTCGGGGTCTTACTGGACTTAATATCTGGCGTCCCACAATCGAACAAATAGAAATCTCATTAGCGATCTTGCTAGATTTAAAAGTTGTCCACTCCAATGAAAGCGCTTAGCAAGCAACTATTAGGAAGTTTGTAATACCAATCAATACCTTTAACTTCAGTCGACGTGAAACCATCTGATCTAAGATTATCTCTTTATTGTACTGCTTCACGGTTCACTTTCATAGGCTCCTTGAATAATATGTTATATTATATATATATATGACGTGGTATTTGATTCACTGCTAGCATACTAGCTTATCAAATTCGTAGCCCCTTTTAGTGTGCTGCATGTTTGAACATGTCTAGTTTTCACACTTGTATTTTTTCCTGTTTGCAGAGGAAGTGGTGCCAAAGCTGATGATCGGTCTCACGATGGAAGGTATTTTTGATTTGTGGGCCTGTTTCTACTGTATTTCGGCTTGGTCTTATAAGAAGTTATACAGTGGAATCATTTTAATTAATGTGATTTCAAAATCAGTTCTACTGCCAGGAGTCTGGACCGTAAATACTCTGGGCAAAGCATTGGTGTAACCCCTAGTTATGAAGATGCTGTTGGTGCTAGCCGTAGTCCTTCTTACAGTGAAAGGTGACAAGCTGATATACATGGGCTTTACTGAAAATTTTTTTTGTTCGGTTCTAACTTTTGATCGTGACAAGCTGATATACATGGGCTGCACTGAAAATTTTATCTTTGGTTCTAACTTTTGATCTTAACAGGGATGGAGATTCTTCACTAGCTTATGCCCCTAAAGCTTCATCCCCCAAAGGTGCTAGTCCAAGCCACATAACTAGTGCTGGGACTTCACCTCCTGCACTTGCTTCACCTCCTGCTTCAGTATCTGCTCCTGCTTCTGCACCTACAGCTGGTTCAGCATCTGCTCTTGCTCCAACTCAGCCTCCAACTCAAATTAGCAACCAGGAAACTGATGGATTTGATGAATTTGATCCGAGAGGCTCGTTTTCAGGTAAATCAATATCAATAAAATGAGTTACGACATTAGTTGATTAGGTTATGAGATATTCGTAACTGTAGATTACTCTGTATATATGAGTTTTACGAAGATGACAAAAATGTGGGGTAAAAATGCTCAATTTGTATTTTCACTTTTTCAGGGGGTTGAGATGGGAAGTGGATTGAAAAGATGATGGTCTTGCCTAGTAATAAACCAATTGTACCTTTCGTGGAAAATTATATGTTGTTCATGCTAGTATTTTATATGATGTCGTGAGAAACTGCTGCATTGCTATTGCAATATTTAACATAGCTATTTGAACGCAAGAATGATTACATTTCTGGAGCATGCATTCTTTGAAACATGAATGACCAATGCATTCGATTTGTCAGTTAAACTGGACTTCGAGTTTCTCTTCTGAGTTTGAAGACTGAATATTAATTACTGTGACCATCAAACCAAGTACTGAATTTGAACTTTCTCATTCTTAAATATTTGTATTAAAACATTAACATACTGTTGACAGATTTTGTTTGTTTTTTCCACAAGCACATGTATATTGTTTTGTGGTGGAGAAAGCATTTATTTTTCTTATTTTTCCTTTCCTGATAGAAAACAAACAGACCCTCATGTATTACAATCTGTTCAAGCTAACAAATTCCTCTCCTGGGTAAATTTTCCTTTAAGCCGACACGTTAAGTTACCAAAGAATTAGGTTTAATATTAAGATATTAAACTTCTCCTTTGGGCGATTCTCTTAATTTTTTATTTATTTTTTTATTTATTTTTTCCCTTTTCCCCCCTCCTGACATTATGATTTATGAGTTTTTGTTTGTTGATTGTTTGAGAATTTTGCATGTACTGGTGTATCATGGTTCTGTGTGTGTTATCAGATATTTGGAAACTCAATTTTGTTTTAAATTCTATTTGATAGCTGCCCCAACTACATTCAATGGTGCCGTCTCTGTTAGTTCTGCTGCGGACATGGACCTACTGGGCTCTTTGTCCGAATTTGCACTCGTGCCTGTTATTCAGCCCACCTCGACTCCTGAAGCTAGCTCCTCTTTAGACTTCAATTCTGGGCCTGGAAACGCAACTGCTGCATCACCAGAAGCCACAATTCATAATCAGGTAATCTTTCTACCATTTAGCCATTCGCATATGACACAGTTGAAGAATAATAACCTACTCCCTCAGAGACAGGAGAATGAAAAAAAGATTCTAAAAGATAATTGAGAGAAAAAAAAAGAAGAAAAAATCCGATAGCGCGAATACTGAATGTTTGCTGCTTTTTAAGAAGGGGGAAAATAAACCTGTACACCTACCTCTATGTGAACCAAACTGCTGTTTGGTCTGAAATTTATTAGGTTTTACAATCGTCCTGTATGGAAAAGATGATTCCTTTATTAGTAGGTATGATGTTACCTTGGAAAAAATGTAGCCTGGCTTGTTCTGTTTCTTTCACCATTAGTTCTCTTCTAGTCCATTAACGCTTGTATTCTTAACACTGCAAATTCTTTCCTAGTTTTTGAAGGATTTTGTTTGCGGTATTATGATGCTTTTGTCTGCCAATATGAAACTTGATTATTTGCAAATCTCTGTTTCCCTCACTTATAGTCATAAACCACTTCAGATATATCAGACGGAATGCCGTAACTAAGAAATTTTAATTAGGCAATTTCCAGGACATTAATTGTTATATTACTTCTTTACTAGACAATTAATCTAATAATACGGGCTTTCTTTTCCAGGCTTTTGACGATCCGTTTGGGGATGGCCCGTTTAAAGCCATTCCTTCAGCCTACAGTGTATCAACTCAACAACAGGTTCAGTCTCAACCACTACCTGAGAAGTCAGCAACTGAATTTGGGGGCAATCCTTATGAAGCAACTTACACGCCGTCAGGCTCTTCTGATGTGCAGCCTACCCCTGCAAGCACACAGGAGCTTTCTAACTTGAGCCATGAACTTGATATATTAGCAGATATTCTTCCCCCATCTGCACCTTCATCCGCATATCAACTTCCACCGAATCAAGCTCCAACACAACCGAACAATTATCAAGCACAAAGCAGTGACATGCCTTCTGGTTTTCCTAATCAAATTTGCCAGCCTTCATCACAAACAGGTTTTCAGACTCAAGGCATGGCTTTGACATACCCAGTTCAAGGTGGACAGCCACTACAGATGAGTTACCAATCTCAAAGTGGGCCCACACAGCCAAATCTGGGTTTCTATCGGGCCTACAACCCACAGCCTTTGTCTACTGCTCCAGTTGGTGGATATATGGCTGCTCCTGTGTCCACTGCTCAGCAAAAAAAATTTCTGGGTCCAACATCAATTAATACATCTTTGACTGGGTCTTCTACTGTAGCCCCTCCCCCATTGAAAGACAAGTTTGAGACAAAGTCCACTGTCTGGGCCGACACTCTCAGCCGTGGACTCGTCAATCTGAATATATCCGGACGTAAGCCTTTTTTAATGAGTAAATTGCAATTTTAGTCCTGTATATTTTAATACCCTAAGGGACCGCTTGTTTACAAAATAATTCGTCCAAAATGAGTTATTTTGGTTAACTAGAGTTAATTTTGAAAAATGTGGTATGTTTAGTTGTTGGTGGAATTTTAAGAATGTATTAAAATAATATTTAAAATAAAATGATTAAAATTGATTTGATGTAAAAGTAGGAGATAAATGATTGAAAATGATAGGTAGCTAAAATTATATGAGTGGATGAATAGTGAATTAAAGTTGATGTGATGTATAAAAATGATTGGTTTGTATTATTTAGTTATATGAATAATATTATTAAAGAGAGGGGAGTTGAGTTAAAGTTGAGTTAGATTTTGAGTATGAATTAAATGTGATTGAAATAATTGATAAACAAGCATGCCCTAACTTTTTCGTCCTCTTCGAATTGCGTTTTTGATTTCCGTCCCATATGTTGGCAAAAAGGTCGTTTTCATACACAAGGGACGAAATTAGAACTTTTTTTTGCATAAAGGACCCTTTTTTATGCGAAAAGCACCTTTTGTAACTTTTTTGCAAACGGAAGAGGACGAAAAAGTTGGGGTAGTGAAACATACAGGGCTAAAATTTTTTAATTGTTATCTGAATCTATGTTTAGATGCTTATTACATTTTCCCAATTGTGCAGCCAAGACAAATCCATTGGCTGATATTGGAGTTGATTTTGACGCAATAAACCGAAAGGAGAAGAGGATGGAGAAGCCGACTGCAGCAGCAGTAACATCTACAGTAACTATGGGGAAAGCTATGGGATCTGGTTCGGGCATAGGACGTGCTGGTGCAACTGCCCTCAGGCCTTCAGCAAATCCAATGATGGGAATGGGAATGGGAATAAACATGCAACAGCCAATTGGGGCTCCTCCTCGCTCTACCATGCCTCCACCTTATAATCATATGGGGACCGGAGGTTATGGTCAACAGCCATATGGTGGTGGCTATAGATGAGAAGGCTGCCGGAAAATGTGGTGTGGTAATCAACAAGTTGGTCGGAAAAATGGATCAATCCGTAAAGTGTTTTTTTTTTTTTTTTCCTGTTGGCTTTTGACTTACTTGCTGGCTTTGTTGTGTAGAATGAGCATGTATTTGATGTTTCGGGGCTTTTATTTACAGTAACCTCTGCCATTTTTGGGTCACAGTGAGGTCTATGTGGCCCTTGGTTCTTATAGCTTTGTTTAAATGAGTGAAGAAATCTTGTATATTATGAACACATTTCAAGGGTAACCTATTGTAGGCTTACCCTTTTTTGTTATACATGATTGACGCTGTCCAGTGTTGAGGAACGGTACTGTGAATTCATTGAATAAATATTAGCAGTTGGATTTTTTTTAGATGCCTTTTTCTTTGGCCTCATCTTCTAATGAGTATATTTTTATATGGCTAGTACACATATACCATGACTCTTCTTAAATAATTGCATATATATTTAAAAACTTATTTGCATACATATCGAAGGTAAGATAATAAATTATGAATATACTAGATGAAAATAAAAATACGCAGTCGGAAAAATAACATTCTTTATAAAGATTTCTGTAATTGCCGGAATATTACAACTATTTTTTTTTTAAAAAAAAATCATTCATACACGATAAACTCCAATCATATTTAGGCAATTTAATTTGATATAATTTAACGGGAACTTGGTGAGAATCGTCGAAGTCATGCAAATTACGGACTAACTACGAATTAAAGCTTAGGTGCAGCAGAATTAGAAGCGGGGTTCAACGGTACTATTTAAAATTTTGTCGATTCTAAGATGTTTTTTATTCCCGTTGGAGATCGTTTGAGTCTCATGTCCGTTGGGATGCCGAACTAGGCATCGCCGGAGTCATCTCAGTTGGGTTCTATGAAGAACGTTATCGATATGCACATCCGAACCTAACGAATTAAATCTTAACACAACAGAATCTAAAATTAGGAATAGGACTTATAGTTCAAAATTTTTGCTGACTCTGAGACGTTATAGATTTCCTCTGTAGTAGATCGTCTGAAACGCAGAGTCCGTTTGGCAACCGGACTTGGCCTCCTCGGTTGATCACAGGTCACCGGGAATTGGTTGGGAGGTGGTCGCGGGTCGCGCGGGTCAGTCGGGAGCTGGCACGTCGCTCGGCGGGCGCTGCCTCGGGTCCGTGTGCACGTCGGGGGCTGCTTGTGCAAGTGTGCGTCGGGCGCGGGTCTCGCTCAGCGTGCGTTGCGGGGAGGTGGTCGCACGTGGGGCGTTGTCCTGGATCCTTGCGGGTCTACACGGGTCGAAGCCGAGAACTTCACGGGTCACCTGCGGAGTCTTGGATCCTTGCGGGTTTGCCTCGGGCGTTGTCCTGGATCCTTGCGGGTCTGCACGAGTCGAAGCCGAGAACTGCACGGCGTGCGCTGGAACGTCGCAGCTGTCTTTGGTCGCGAACTGGGCCAGGTCGAGCAGGCACAGGTCGCTGAGCGTCGTTTGGTCGCAGCGTGTGGGCGCGGTGATGAAGGTCGTGTATCTCAATACTTGGTTTACTTTGAAAGTTGCTTGCCACGACTTCCTTCTCAACGATAGATTGTGGACGACTTGGATTTCTCCTTATCTTCCGCGGTTTTTGAGACAGCTCTGACGTAATATCCTTGCCAAACTCGAGCTTATGACGAACTATGCGATGAGACGCCCTATTAGATACAAGGATTTTGTATTAAAACTCAAAATAATTCTAACACAAGAGATTGGTGAGCAAAGGTCAAATTTTCATTAATTGAAGATATCATCAAAATTGAATGAGTACATAGGCTATTTATAAGAGAGAAAACATTAACCTATGGTTCACTTGCTAGATAGAAATGAACAATCCATCGGAACAATTGTAGTGTTAACCGTACAATTTGTCTTGATTGATTAGTTACAATAGTGCACTGTGTGCATGAACAAATCCTAGAGAGGGAAAGTTCGTTTTATACTGATTGTCGTAAACGAACTAGGCCTTGGTTAATTACTGCGTACTCTTAACTGTAAGATATAAACAGACACGTGAATACAGTAGCTGCAACTTTGTTTCACCAAAAGCGAGATCCACTCAGCTGGGTCAGTAGTCTTCTTGTTTTAGGTAGTAATGCTGTGTGTATGGTTTGTTGTTCGAATATTTACGGTCACCGTGTGCGATAGTTTGATGATGTTCCCGAGATGAATTCATGAAAGATTATTATATTAAATATAGACAGTGGAATTTATTCCGACACAATAATAAAGATTTGAGTGGTACTAGTCTCGGTTATAGATGTCGATTATTTTAATTGTCAATAATTAAATTAATTTATGGACATTATATCTTAAACACATGGAGATAAATCGGGTAACTATTATTGGAGCCTCGGATATAATTCAGGATGATGAGCGAGAGAAAAAGTGTTCTGTTAGTGGACTGAAACATTATTTAAGCTATTAAGCGGGGTGCGTTTGGCCCACAGTTGGGCCCATGACTTAAAAAGCCCACATATCACTTTTTTAGTGTCCCTGTTGTAGCATATAAATATATCACATCTCTTGGGATTATGGATCATAATGAGTTTGACGATTTTTAGGGTACCCACACGGTTTAGCCACCACCCAAGTTCTCTCTTTTCTCATCTCTTCTCTTCTTCTTCTCCAAGCAATCCGAATAGAGATATCTCCGATTTCATCGCCCACCAAGATGATCAGAGAAGATGTCAGGTCATACAACAGAATATCCGAAATAATTCATGGCCGATGAATATATTAATATACAAAATATTATTTACTTATGTAATTAATTTAAAAATCTTTAAACAAATTCAAAATAAATATGGTGCCGTATATGCATTCTATTCATTTCTTGATTTTTTCCTATCACATAATAATTAAAAAAAATCATATATATATATATATATAAGATATTATTAAATATGTAAAGCCTAAAAATGAAATTAGTAATTAGCTAGTATAATCGCTCAATTTTGTGGTAGAGGATTTTAATTAGAGTATTGAATTTTATGATAGAAGATATTAACTTAAAATATTGCATTTAATTTATTTTAAATCGATTAACCATTTACCATTGTCAATGTAGCAAATATAATGGAAATAATTCAAATTTCAAAAAGGTATTGTAGTTAGATAAATTTCAACAACCAATTGTATGTGGTTTTTCCGAAAAAATAACTAAATTTTACACGATTGTATATTCGGAATTTTCCAAAACTTTATCTGAGAAAATGAGTTAAACAATCCATATAAATTAGATTCTTTTCATACTGTAAGAAGGTATGAAAAAATTAACAAAATTTCACACGATTATGTAGTAAGGATTTTTCAAAATAATATGTAACAATCCTAAAAATTGAGTAATTAGATAGTTTTATCGGTGACTTTTATGATAGAAAATTTCTAATTAGAGTATTGATTTTTATAATAAAAGATATCCTCAACATATTGTGTCTGATTATTTTTTAAATAAATTAATAATTTACAATTGTAATGTACAAAAAGTACTGGAAAAAATCCAAATTTTAAAAAGGTGGTGTTTTCGTGTGATTTTTTGAAAAAATCAACTAAATTTTAGTCAGGATTTTCTAGAATTTTATCTAAAAATAATTTAAACAGTCCATATAAATTTGGATTCTTTCCAAATTGTAATTTTGATTCATTCAAAACTGTAGTAAGGCGTTGAAGTTAAATAAATATGATCACCCTTGTGATTTTTTTGGTAAAAACTATTTCATCGATTGTATAGGCGGGATTTTTAGAAATAAAAAATCATTCAATTATGAATTGCGATTTAATATTTAGAAAAAATTATCTATAATTTTTTATCATAATTAATTATATATGCTACCAATAGCATTAAATTAATTATCATATACATTAAATAATTAATATGCAATATGCACATCTCATAAATAAATATTAAGCATATTGAATAAATAATGACAATAAGCATATAAAAATTTATTATGTAATAATAAGTTTATGAGGTAAAAATATTTACTTAGTTTCAATTTATTTGTTACAGATTGTCATATAAATACAAAAAAATAAAATAATTTATTTACAAAATCAATCTAATAGGTTTGCTATAATAGTTCAAAACTAATATGCAAATTGTCGATATTCATATAAGTTTTAATAATAATAATAATAATAATAATAGTAGTAGTAGTAGTAGTAGTAGTAGTAGTAGTAGTAGTAGTAGTAATAACAAAAATTTGAATTTAAATTAATAATTTATTTACAAAATCAAATCTAATAGGTTTACTATAATAGTTCAAAACTAATATGCAAATTATCGATATTCATATAAGTTTTAATAATAATAATATAAGTTTTAATAATAATAATAATAGTAGTAGTAGTAATAATAATAACAAAAATTTGAATTTTGATTCACTCTGTTGCAAAGATGCTCTTATAGCAAAGAGCAATTTTTGCCGATTGCCTGAGCATTTCTGATTGACAGAGGTTCGGTCTAAGCTGCCGCCGATTCTACTACATAGCGTGGTAGAATGAACAAAAGGGTGCTCAAATCTGCTGTATTTTCTCAAACACCACTCTTATACTCGCTCAAATTATCCCACAGCAGATTATTCAGCACAGACAACAGTCTCGAAGGTTTGATAATCCCCCAAGAAATCAGCGACTCCACCGCCGCACCCGACACGTCTTCTCCTCGGCCCTTTTCAGCCCAAGACTTCGCTTTTCTCAAGGAGTCCATTTCTTCTGCCAAGGGCGCCGACTCTGAACCCGGTAAGTGTTCGAACGACGCTTCTTCTATAGTAATTGCCCTCAAGAGTTATAATGACGGGCTGGGCGAGAAGTCCCAGAAATTCCTCAGGCAGTTCAGGGGTAGGCTTGATGAGAGTTTGGTGGTTGACGTGTTGAGAAATGTGAAAAATCCTGATTTGGGTGTCAAGTTTTTCTTGTGGGCTGGGAGGCAAATAGGATATTCTCATAGTTTAGCCGTTTACGATGCTTTACTGGAATTACTCGCACTAGATAAGGACAACGCCCGAATTTCAGATGATTTTTTGCTCGAGATCAAGGATGATGATAGAGAGGTTCTGGGGAAATTGCTCAATGTGCTGATCAGAAATTATTGCCAGAGTGGGATGTGGAATTTGGCACTGGAGCAGTTGGGGAGGCTCAAGGATTTTGGGTACAAGCCCTCAAGGGTAACGTACAATGCGCTTATACGGGTGTTCTTGGAGGCGGGTAAGTTGGATTCTGCTCTCCTGCTCCACAGGGAGATGTTACACTTGGGTTATAAGATGGATACGCATACTTTGGGCAGTCTTTTGCAATTTTTATGCAAAGAGGGTAAATTGGGAGATGCCTTGAATATGATTGAGAAAGAAGAAGTTCA